AGCTTTGTGCATTTCTTCTTTGTTTGCCTCAATTTTCTTGGTCATTTCCTCTGGTTCATCTCGATTTCTTTGGCTATTTCTCTGAGGGCTTTGTTCATTTCATCTTTATGGGCCTCTTAATAGCTGGAGAAACATAGTTTTGAGGTCATTTTCTTGTATATCTAGTGAATTTAAGTGTCCATTGTTTTGTTGGGTTGCTGGTGAGGTCATTGTGTCCTGATTTTTGTTGGGTGTGTTCTTACATCTTCCTCTAGCCATCTGGTTATTTATAACCCTCACTATTTGTTCTTCGAGTTTGTAGTTCGGGCTATGATAGTCTCTTTCTGTTTTCTGGACTGTTTTTTCAGGAAGATGAGAGAGGTTCACTGGTTTGGGAGTGTACGTTGTGGTTTCAGTTTTGCCTAAGTAAGGAATGTGACGCTGGCATTATTCGCATGCACTTTTAGTGGGTTTAGTGTGCATTCGTGGATTCTCTGACTATTGCAGTGGCCTGCAGGCCACTATTATGCAGTTCTGTCTGAGATCCAGGGATTGTTTGCCTGGATTACACTGGTGGACCCACAAGGCAGAGGCTTCAATGTTGGGGTCGCTATCCTAAGTATCCCTATGATGCCCACACTAGGGGTGTGGGTAGCAGGGATCTCGTCTGGTTGCTTCTGTTGATAGGCCCTGGGTCTGGGGCAAACTCTCCCTAGAAGGCTCACTCACTCTCTCGCAGGACCAGTTGGAATGCACAGGGGTTCCCCTTGCTCTCTACTCTCTGATTTGGTCCTGCTGTGGAAAATGTGCGGGTAGGCTAACAGTCAGCTCTGTGGCACTGTGGCCACAGGACTCGGTGTCCACCTTTCCTGTGTGCTGCCTCTCTGTCCTTTCCCTCTGCCAGGAGGGGTTATGTTGACTGGTCCTGGGGTAGCGCCAGAAAGAGTTTGGTTGAGTGTTCTCAATCTGAGATCCCGGGCCCAGATCTCTCTGCCAGAAGAAGCCTGGTGGTAGAACCTATGTTTGCTGATCCTGAGAGAGTACCAGGTAAGGTTGAGTGTCCTCAGATCCAGAGCTTGGGTTTCTCTGCTAGGGGCTGCTGGGTGAGCTGGAGAGGGGGTGCTGTGTCCTTGGCAGGCTGCCTCTCTGTCCTTCCTCTCTGACCTTCCCCTCCTCTAATGAAAGCTTAGGGTGGTGCTCTCAGGGAAGTGCCAGAAGGGGTTGTTATTTCTCAGTCCGATCCTGAGCCGGGGGTTTCTCTGCCAGGGGTCGGGGGGGGCGGCTGCTGGTGTTATTGCTTGGTGCTAGACCTTATTGCACTAGACCCAGGAAAGTCTCAGGACATGTGGAATGAGCACAGTCCCAGATCCCGAGCTGAAGTTTGTTTGCTAGGAGCAGCCAGCAGCTCTGGGGTCCTGGCACTGTGAAGCTGTTGTGCACCTCTTTATCCTTCCACTCCTCTGCGGCAGTGTTATGGTGGCGTTTGGGGGAGTGTCTGAAAGGATTGGGTTTTCTCAGCCCCGATCTCGGGTTGGGGTACAGACAGTGTTGTCTGTGGCAGATTCTGCTGGACGCCTCCTGCCTCCTCCGAAGAGAGAGTAGGGATTTTGAGCTGGGCGATAAGCTGCTCTCCGTGTGCAGTGGGAGCTCAGTTGTGATGTTTTCGGGTACCCAAGGTCAGCGAGACCTTTTAGGGAAAGACTGGGTGACCCATGATCAGTCTTGCAACTTTCCTTCCCCTTTGGGTTTTCTTGCGACTGGGACTCCTAGTCTCTGGCACCCTTGTGCCCACCAATCAGCCTGGGAAAGTGATCGGAACACGCAGGCTTGCAGCTCCAGCCCGGAGACCCAAAGCCCGTGTTAGCCGGGTTCTCTTCCGGGTTCTGGCTGGGCAGTCGAGAGTGGACCTGACCAATTCCCATGCCGTGGGAGTCTCCCCTCACCTGAGAAACATGATCGCTGTAGTTTTAGGGCCCAGAGTTCAGTCTCCTGGTTGCTGCACGGAAAGTGTTGTCCCGCCTCTGAGACACAGTGCTCTCCCAGCGCCGCCATCTTGCCCCCCTAGTTCCTATATTATTAACAAAATAAACATAAGTTTTTATTCAGATTCCAAATTATTTGTGTATATTCAGTATCTATATATCATCTATCTATTTATCATCCATAACTATCTACCTATCTGTGTATCTCTATCTATATTTATAGCCATGCACATGGTCTCCAATAGAGGATGGTTTGACTTTCAATGTTTTGACTTTATAATGGTTTGAAAGTGATAAGCCTTCAATAGAAACTACATTTTGAAGGTTGAACTTTGATGCTAATTATGTAAATCATAATCTTTCATTTCTTGTCATGCTGAGAAATGGCTGTAATTCACAGGTTCCAAACAGTCCCATGGTAACCAAGAGGAAACAACTCATACTGTTCAATGTGCATTATTGCTTTATAGGATTTTTGGCAGGTTCAGGATATCCAATGCACTTATGATAATATTTCCAATTTATCCTGGATTTATTGGAATGTACTCAATTCTCTTTGTGTGTGTGTGTGTGTGTTTGCAAAATTATTTATTTATCTATTTATTTATTTATTTATTGAAATTATACTGTATTTACTTTGTATCCCCCCTCTAGTTCCTTCCCTCCTCCCCTCCCAATCCCTCCCTTCTTCCCCTTTTTCCACACACTCCCCTCCCCAAGTCCACTGGTAGGGGAGGGTTTCTTTTTCTTCCTTCTGATCCTAGTCTGTTAAGTCTCATCAGGAGTGGCTGCATTGTCTTCCTCTGTGGCCTGGTAAGGCTGCTCCCCCCTCAGGGGGAGGTAATTAAAAAGCAGGCCAATCAGTTCATGTCAGAGACAGTCCCTGTTCCTATTACTATGGAACCCACTTGGACACTGAACTGCCATGGGGTACATCTGTGCAGGGGTTCTAGGTTCTCTCCATTCGTGATACTTGGTTGGAGTATGAGTCTCAGGAAAGATCCCTGTGTTCATAATTTTGGTTCTGTTGCTCTCTTTGTGGACCTCCTTTCCCCTCCAGATCTTACTATAATTTCCCACTTCTTTCATAAGATTCCCTGCATTCTGCCCAAAGTTTGGCCATAAGTCTCAACATCTGCTTTGATACCTTGCAGAGCAGAGCCTTTCAGAGGCCCTCTGTGGGAGGCTCCTAAGTTGTTTCCTGTTTTTTTCTTCTTCTGGTGTCCATCCTCTTTGCATTTTGCAGTGGGGATTGAACATTTTAGCCAGAGTCCTCCCTCTTGAATAGTTTCTTTAGGTGTACAGATTTTAGTAGGTTTATCCTATATTATATGTCCATATAAGTGAGTATATACCGTGTGTGTCTTTCTGCTTCTGAGATAGCTCACTCAGGATGATTCTTTCCAGATCCCACAATTTACCTGCAAATTTCATGATTTCCTTGCTTTTCATTGCTGCATACTCAATTCTTAAGAGAAGAAAAGCATCACAAATTTGATTGTGGCTCAAGAAATCAGACAAGATATTTTCTCATAGGACACAACCATTTAAAACAAGTAACACACAGGTATATGTTTGAATGGCTCTACTGTCTCTGGTTGCTTTGTTACCATCACTAATATATTGCCGTCTTCCCCTTTCCTCTCCTTTCTTTTCTTCTTTTCTTTTTAACCCCCCTATCACTTTTTCTCTTCCTCTCTCCCAATCCCTTCTTCTTTACCTCATTCCTTATTTCCCTCCTTTCCATTCTTACCTCTGTCTGTCCTTTCTATGTTCTCTTTTTGCAAAAACACTTAATCAGTATCTTCAAAAAATCTATGGTCTCTAAGAATCTTTCCACCACAAAATAGTGTTAGTATTTTAGAATGGTTGATATTTGAATCTGGGCAATGAAAAGGCAGGCAGAGTAAACATCTCCAAACTTACTGTTTTTCAAAACATCCCTGTAGGAGATGGGTGCCAGTATCCTACAGAAGGCTACTCTATATGTTTTTTTGGGCCTTTTACTAATTTTGCTCTTTCTTGATTTTTAAAATGGAACAGTGATACTATATTTTAGGATCACTGTTAATTGAAACACAGAAAAAGGGTAAATTTCTCACTGAATGGTTATTATTACTTACCTTGGGAAAATTCTCAAGCCTTCTCCTTAAACACTGGGGGAACAGAATAAAGAATAAAAATGTGGGAGTCAGAAAAATAAAAAGAGTGTGACTTTATTTTATCATTGTGCTTGACCTCCTAGGAATCCAAGATGGCCTAAGAAGAAGGGGTACTAGAGCTGCCAAGTCCTTTCTAGTGAGAACAGGCTGCTTTTAGTGAGTTACAACTGGTCCCCCATACATGGTTGCTTATCTTCTGCTGGATTGTGGACACTGGCTTTTAGTGGCACACCTTGTTCAATCTTTCTTTGGAGTACAATTTTATTTTGGATACACAACATTTTAATCTATTATATGATATTGTCTGATATGTTTAGTCAGCTGTCCATAATATACAATACTGGATTTTAATCACATTATTTACAGAGGGGCCAAAGCACTCACTTGCAGGTCAAGCCGCTGGGTTCACTGTGCACTTTCACAGCCCTATGAAACACAACCATTATATACACTGTAAACACCACAGAGCAGACCCATCACCAAACATTCTCACAGCATCAAGCATACAAGGTCTAAGGTAAGGTGCCTACATTTCTTTTTTTTTCATTTTTTAGGCATAATTCTCAAAGGTTTCTTCATTTCACTCACTTCAGATACAGAGCCAGTGCTGGGACGTTGCAGGATCCTCTTGTGGGGGCTCCCTGGTGACCTCTCAGTGTCCAAATGGAGGAAAATGGGCAGAGTTCTTCACAGCTGGGTGGGTTAAATGTGAGGCACCACTATAGACAAGCATGGAGCTAATTTATTGAACAGCTGGTAAACAGATAAAAGCCTGAGTAACGGCAGTCTGAGCGGAGCAGAGTCCTGAACAGCTGGGGATGAGGCCGCACACACCTAAGGGTTGAGGCGTTTCACAGTCCCTTCTCTCCCGTGGACATCAGTACTCCTCTTCCGTCTCGCTCCCTCTTGCTTTCTTATGGATCGTCCGGTCAAAGCTGTGATAGGCAGGTAACCAGTGATTGTCATGAAGGCCTAGCTTACAGCTGGGAAAGCCCTTCTGAGACTGGTGGCAGCACATCCAGTACCCAGGCCCATATGGCAATGCCTGGCAATAGGGTTTGGGATGCCACCGACACAGGGACACATCCCCTTTCACATACTTTTTCTTGCATTGCTTGCAAGGGTCTTCTCTATAGCGAGGATCTTGGACCCCCCGAGAATCTGCTGGCCTGATGTTGTAGTATTCAATGAGGGACTTAAAGTAGCGGCAGGTACATTTAAGAATCGCTAAACTCAGGGTGGGGAGTAACCTGAAGATTTTCACCATGATGTGGTGAGGCAGGCATATCATGTACTGCTGAGGCTCCAGGAGCTGCTGGATTTTAAACCTTGTCTCCAGGAAATGCTGAGACACGGGCTTCTTCCAGCTGGACACCTCAAGCACCGGTAATGTACTTTCCCCCCCGGGGGCTGCTGGGATGAGTGGCTCCACAGAACCATCTTTCTCCTCACATGCGCTGTTGCCCTCAGCAGCATCTTGTGGCTTACTGGCCTCTGAAGCCTCTTGTGCTGTGTGTTCATTCAGCTGGGAGCACTCTTGCTGGTCCCGTCCAGGTGACAGCCAAAACAACATGCCAGGAAGAGGCTCTTCAAGGGAGTCTCTAGCAGAAGGCTGCTCCCTCTCCACCGTGCACACGGCAATGCTGATAGACAAAGGTTCTTTTCTCTGATCAGCATGGTGCTTTGGGAGCGCTACACACTCTTTACTCATACAACTGATAGCATCTGTGGGCAATTTGGTGGCTTGGAGACAGGTATGAGGAGAAAAGGGCAATCTCTCAAATTCATCTGTCATTTCTATGTCGTTCCGGTTGGAGTTCTCCACAGTTGTCTGCTGACTTGGCTCTAATTCTGTGCTGTCCTTGTGGAAGCTCATGCCTACTGGCAATGAGGAACAGGTTTGAGAGGTACTATCCCAGGCCTGGTCCCCTGCAGAACGGTCAGTTTCTGACGGTCCTGCTCCCTCAGACACCGACTGTGTGGGGTGCACCTGGGTACTGGGTGTGTCTGCAGACCCCTTTTCACTTTTGTCACTGGCCTGAGAGCCATTCGTGAGCAACACCCTGCCCACACTTCGCCGGAAACTGTTATTCCGTGACAAGCTCCCAGGTTCTCGCTGGCCCTGATGCTTTAGGCACTCAGACTCCAACCTGGCTACCATGTCAAGGACTCGGACTGGTTCACTCTGTGATCTGCCAGACTCAGGATTTTCTCTTTCCGTGGGTTCTTCACAAGTTCCTGGATCAGAGAAGGGCTCTGGTGCAGGTGGCACACCTCGGGACTGGCCAGAAATCTTCACAATGGCAGGTGGATTTGTGCAGTTTTTCACACAGATAGCTAGGAGAGCAGTGGCTCTCTGCTCAAGAAAGGCAACCATCTGTATCACTGACAGAAGCTTCCCACTACAGACACTGTCCCCACTGTCACTCACATAATGCACAGAACAGTGCTCAATGCCACATGTAAATGGCTCCGGCTGGTAGCACTGGCTGTTGATCTCTCTAATCATTTCTAACTGTACCTTGGCTTTCTTAAGATCCCCTGATTTTTTCCTTCTTTTAGTAGCGCTCCCATCAATATCCCAGGAACTTTTTATTTTCATAGATCCTATCCTATTGCTACACTGGTGGGCTGCAAAGAATGCAATTTTCTCCTTTGTATTTCCAGGCTTGACAATACCCCAGCTCCCAGGCAGTCCTTCTTCCTCACTCTGGTGCACTGTTGCAGGCAGCACATTCTTTTTGACTTTAACATTCAAGCTGTTCTCCACAGGGTTCTTCCCACTCATACTGCATAGAACATTTGGAGAAAGGATCCCAAAAGGTTTTCTAGATGCTGTTTTGACAAAGGAGGCTGAAGGGAAGACAGGTGGTTTCATGTAGTTAGCTTTGCCCTTTTCATCATGGACAGTGTTTTGGTGGCTCGTAGGCGTTCTTAGTGTGTCCCGGCTGACTTTGAGAGGGTGCTCTTTCTTCTGGAGTCTCCAGTGTGGCTTCAGGTGTATAACAGATGCCAGTCAGAGGGTGGAGGAGAAGCATCAAGGATCTTCAAATTTATGGCTTCAGCATCTGCATGAAGAATGGCTCCTCTCAGTGGATGGCAACAAGATGGCTGCTCAGATCTGCAGAAGGGGAGGCATGAATGCCTGGCGGGTCGTGACCCCTTCAGGATCTAAGGACTCTTTCACAAGGGTGACCTTTCTGAACCAGACTCAAGAAGGAAGAAAAAGGTGAAGGGGTCTATCTGCTGGAACAGCCCAAGCAGGTCAGCACAGCCCAGCAGCTTCCATGCAGCTCTGCTATCTCTTGAAAGCTTGACAATTGTTACATTCAAACTGTGCAAAGCCAAGATCTCACAATTTACGGTTCAAATCTGCTAGGACAGAACTTCCTTTTTCTCCCCTGCGGGTCTTCCCGGCCTTCCGCACGCCAAGGTCGCCATCACGGTCTCTCTCAGCAGAGTCCTGATATCACAGGGATGCAGAGCCCTGGGAACTGTGACCTCAGTGCCGCGGGCTCACACGCCGGGGGGGGGGGGGCCCGGGAAGGGTGGAGGAGACGCGCCTTTCACCTGCGCCGGGGAACCCCTCACCGCGGACCCTCACCCTACCCCGGGCCCCGCATTCAGCCCATCCGCGGAGGCCTAGCTCGGCTCACCCCCCTCGGGGCCCGGGCACCCGCCGCGCTCTGGAGTACAATTTCTATTGTCAGTGTGCCTGCTAGTTAGAAAAGAAATTTGAGAAGAAAAGTGAAAAGTCACATTATGTGAAAAATTGCCATGTAGGGATGTCATTTATTTGGAAAGATTATCTGAATCTGAAAATGGGAAGAAAATATGATATTAGACTGAAGATTAATAAAATTGAATGTAGTTCATTAAAATGTGTTGAAGGTGCCTTCCTTGTATTTCCTTGGGTTTTGTATATTTACTATACATTTCTCTCTGAAAATGTGAAGTTGAGACGGTCTAGAAAAGTATTAAAAATACTTCTGGATTATAAGTGGGGAACACACTGATTATAAACCTTCCTTACTACTGGAGTCAAATGTATGACTATGGGCCATCTGTATAATAACTGCCTGGGGAATTTTTGAAAAATACAGGTTTTAGGACTTTGACTTTGAGAATTATACTCCAGTGGAACTAGGGATGGGTCTGAGATTACATTCTAAAGCTTGGGGTGGGGGTTGTATTCAACAGCAAAGCTATATAGCAGAGCTACTGTACAGTCTGAAAATGTCTGATCTCATGATAGTATAGCAAATAACTGACACTGTTCCTGCTTTGTAGAAAAGAACTGTATGTGAAGAAACATGAAAAAGTCACATTGCTTGAAAAATTGCCATCTAGGGATGTCACTTAATGGGGAAGAATGTCTATGGAAAAGTTGGTATTGAAGAAAAATAATAAATGCAAATAGGCAAAGTAGATCAACTGGCAGGGAGCTTTTAGAAAACAAATAGTTATTTCAGAGAAAATAGGACAATTTTCTATTATTTTTATTTTAAAATTTGTTTTGTAACCAATACAGCTTGATTATATTGCATGGAAGCTATGAGAAGGCAGTCAAGGGATGGTTTGTTTCTCTCTGCTGCTGGAACTCCATGGCTGAACAGGACTAAGCAGGATGGCATCTATGTGAGGACCAGATAACCATTCTTTCTTTTTCAGTTTATCTGGAATGCCAGGCATCCATATCATTGCTACCTGGAGAAGAGATAGGAAAGTAGCTTTTCTGATTTTGTTCAGATTGCCAGATAAATATCAACACTATGCCCAGATTGTATATAAAACTTATTTGGCAGGTCAGTGTTGAATTTCACTTCTCCCATCTTCTTGAAGCCTCAGATGTCCTTACAGGTCATGGGCACAGAGAAGTGAAGCTTCAGCATGACTGACCCTGTGATGCTTTCAACATCTACAACCTGGAGGTCGCTTCTTTTACTGATTCTTTAGTATTTGCCATGGGTCACCTACTGGGCTATGTGCTTTACTGAGATTAATCCTTCACACTGGTTTGTTCATTTGGTTTTATAAAATGAGGAAATGGATGCATTTAAAACTTAGGCAACTTGTTTAAAGTCATTCAGCTTTAAGTGTTGTAGTCACTGGCCCTATGTCTATACAAGTTCATAGCTCCAAGTTCCCTAAGAAATAAAAGAGACAAAAGCTGGAGCCTCCACAAAAAGACATGCATTTTTGTTTTGAATGGAGCTAGGTTTATTTATGTATAACTATCTCAAGGGTCAGAGCAAATCACATAAAATGAGTTCAGTTGTTATTAAAATTTTCATTATCTTACGGAAAATGAATCTTGTTAACCATGGTTTAAAGAAAGAAATACTTAGAGAAAACTATAATCAGATATTAAAGACCTGTGTGATTAATTATGTTTCATTGACAACAAAGCCCAATGTATTTTCTAAGCATAGTTATTATATATATATATATATATATATATTAGTGTTTTAAATATAATCTGAGTTGTATAATTTATTCTGCTTTGTTATCCTTTGCTAGCCTAATAAAATGTGACTGCAGCAAAAGACCCTCTTGGGGTGGTGTTTTAATTGTCATAAAAATGTCATATAGATTAAGGGGCCAGTTGGGCAATTATGGTTTCTCACCAACTAGGGAAATCATAAAAAATTATTTTTGAGATAATGCTTTGTCATAAATTCTTCCATAATGTTCTTTTTAAAGTGAGCTAGTAAACACAAAGCTATGAGTTATCTTAATTTCCAGAAATCATTTTCTGAAAGCTTACACGGGGTTGTATCTCCTTCTGAGTGCATTCTTTCAGGAGATAACAATATCCTTTATGGATGTGCTTTTGTCTCTATACAGTTTTGAGTGGATTCAGCCTTCCACCGATTGCCCTGTTTCTAGGCCCTGGCAACACTATTACCATATTTTTGTCTTTCAGATCATTTTCAACATTTTCTTTACTTCAGTCTGACCTTTGTATATTCTCTCTCTCTCTCTCTCTCTCTAAATGTCTCTAGTTTTAACACATAATTGATAAACTAAAATGTATATATTTGCAATATTCAGTGAAATGCTTCAGTATATGTATACATTGCAAAATGATTGGGTAAAGCAAATTAACATAATCATCACCTAGCTTGCACTAGCTTGCTTCTTGAGTCCATTTGCTTGGAATACATTTTTCTAACCCTTTACTATGAGGTAATGCCTATCCTTGATGTTGACGTGTGTTTCATGGATGCAGCAGAAGGATAAACTTAACATTTTCTTTGACAAATGTATCCATTTTTTTGCATTATATCTGTCTTGAGAACTCCTTAGTTCTATTTCCTTAGCAGTTTTCAAATGCAGTTTGTTGACTGTGGTCACCATGAAGATAAGAGCGCTCTAGATTTTAATTGTCCTAACAGAATCTTTGTGGTTTTGGCCAACATTTTCCCATGCTTCTCTCATTTCCTTCCCAGGTAACTACCCTTTTCTGTGAGTTCGGCTCTCTTAGATTCCATATCAAATGAGATAATACTTTCTGTGTCTTCCTTGTTTCACATAGCACATGTGCTGCCTCATTATAAGCCCAACAGTAAATGGCCAAGTCACCATGTACTAATACCTCCTAAACTGTGATGCATCTTCTTAAATTGAGTATCTCAAGTAATTTGTTAACATTATAGAAAGCTTACTAACATAATAAGGACGTAAAGAAATAAGCTTGTTGGGCAGAACAACAACAACAACAATAATAATAATAATAATAAATAATTACTTGGATATAAAAACTATTTGCCTCATCCAGTTGATCATTTTTTTCTTTTTATTTTTTTTTCTTTTATTGAAAGTAGATATTTTTTCATACAATCCTACCCTTGTGTTTGGGGCATAAATGGTAGAACTGAAATGTCATCTTGGTGAATTCTTTAAAATCTATTTATTTTACTTGTATGGATATTTTGCTTGCCTGTATAGATATATGCACCACATGCATGCCTGGTTCAATGGATGCCTGTAACTGGAGTAACAGACAGTTGTGAGCTTCCATGTGTGTGCTGAGAATTGAACTGTGGTCCTCTAGAGGAGCAGCCAGTGCTCTTAACCACTGAGCCATCTCTTTACAATCTTGGTGGATTTTTCCTTTGATGAATATGTAGTGTCCCTCTCTATTTCTTTTAATTAGTTTTGGCTATAAGTCTATTTAGTTAGATATTAAAATGGCTACACTAGCTTACTTCTTGAGTTCATTTACTTGGAATACATTTTTCTAATCCTTTACTATGAGGTAATGTCTATCCTTGATGTTGAAATGTGTTTCATGGATGCAGCAGAAGGATAAACTTAACATTTTCTTTGACATATGTACCCATTTCTTCTATATTTTCAATTCCTGAAGTTAAATCTTTCATCTCTTGTATTCTGTTTATGAAGCTTTACTCTATAGTTCTGTTCTATTTCCATAATTTTTCTATTCTAGAATGCCCTCAGTTTGGGTTTTTCTTTATTGATTTTATTTTCAATTTCAGATCTTATGCACTATTATTTTATTTTATTTCATGGATAGAACAGATCTTGTTTTCATATCTATTCTGTTAGTTTATATCTTTTAATTGAAGAATTGAGACCACTGATATTGAGATATTTCGATGACCACTGATTGTTGATTGCTGTTATTTTTTTGTTGTTCTTTGTTGCAAATTATATGACTCCATTTTGAACTCCAAAATTGTGAACTGTAAAACCCTGTTCCTTGTTTAGTATGGATAAGCCCTATCACATACCTTTAATCCAAGAACTGTCTTCAAATGATCAACACTTTCAACAAAGTGACAGGATAAAAAATAAAGTCACAGAAACTAATAGTCTTTCTATACACCAGTACATACTGGCTGAGATTATGTAAAAACTCTCATTCACAATAGCTTCAAAAGTATCTAGGAATAATCCTAACCAAGGAGGTGGAAGACCTCAAGGGGAAAGTTTCATATTTGCTTGGGATCTTGTTAGTCTATAACTCTTTTGGTCTATAACTCTTTTGAA